AGATTCCAATCCATCTCAGGTCGAAGCCCATTATGACCAAACACGATCGGTCCTGGCTTCAAATTGTACATTTGCCAATTCTGAGCATAATCTCGGGTTTCACTCCTCCAAATATCTCCCTTCAACATGATGCGACGCGTGATCATTTTCTGTCACCTTCAGTGTGCTCTTTGTATATGCACAGCTCACTTCTCGGTTGACCGCATCCCGTTCGTTGTGAGTGGAGGAACCTCCTTTTCCAGACCTATTTGGAGATCTGTGACGAATGCATTGCACATACAGGGTACATGGAAATGGTATATAAAATTTGGGACGACACCAGCCCCACTTTAATCATCGTAGAGCAGATTTCTTCAAAACAAGAAATGATTTCCCGCAACCCTACTATAAAATACATCAATGTAATTGACAGGGAGACTTATTCCCTTCAATCGCTTCTGTTTCATGTGCCCAATGACCAGTCGCAATGAGCGCCTACCAAGGGCAATTATGGTCTAAGATTCTTTCTATCTTAGAATCCATTACAGCAGACTTTATAACTACTCACACCGAGACAATGGCTCTAGCAAGGCAATACGGGTTTGCAGCTAGACATGCAAAATGCTTCAACTTCTGTGGCACCTTCAGCATAGATAGAATGTTCACCTAGTTAAGATCCACTGGTTCATCAGAGAGGCAAAGGACAGAATTGAGTACAGTATCTCTCATTGCATGGTACCAGTCTCTTCAGTCTAGACTGATAGCACTAGAAAATTTTTTACACACAATATGAAAAGCAGCCAAAATATATGTGGGTTGACAGACCTTTCGCCTTTTTCTCAGTTCTACCCATAATCCTTTCAACCATGTCTGGACTTTCAGCCTCCCAGACAACTCGGTTTATTCAAGGATGTTACCACATCTCTAGGTTACATTATAAAAATGATTTTGTTATTTTTTTAGTAACGTTATACTTTCTTCCTTTTTCTGTACCATCCAGGAAGAGGTATTTACCCCCTAGATAGGCATGCCATAATCCTAGTTACAACATCAGGCTTGTGTAATGGCTTCTACTCCTATACTTTTATGGACATAGTAAGGACGGAGTCATCTGTACCATCTTTGTTTTCAGAAATCTTATCAGGTGTACTCTACCATCCGATTTTTTTACATCTACAAGGTTTTTTCACAAGGCATCAGTTTGAAACCTTCCCCAGCAAGATATAAATGTCCACCTATACTGGTACTACAGTGTATGTTTTTCTAAAAAAGAAAAAAAAACAAAGCAATCCTCTCCCCGAATTCATTGCCTCCACGAATTCAGTGCCATAGCAAGTCAGACTCAGCTTTGAACCACTCCTATAGTGGTATCCTTTACTGTTCGACCATGTGGAGGCTCACTATTCCAAGCAACTGCAAGTTCGGTTCTGTCACTGTTGGGAAGTGCCGACCATCAATGTATTGGATGGGATCCAGACGCCAACTACAGGTTCTATTGTTCCTGTCCAGGTGCGGACAAGGACACTGTCGGGGACGTGTTCATATGGCAGTGGACAGGGAACCTGCCATAACTCTTCCCTCCAATACCTTTTATTCTAGGGATAGTCTTCCATCACCATCATTCGTAGTCAAAATCATTCCTGATCGAGCGCGATCCAAATACCTCCATGATGACCAATACCACCTGTCTCAAATCGATATTGACAGACACAGGTCAGTCCCTCCGGTTCCTCACGTCCTAACTTCGGAAGGAGGGATGGTCGACCATCTGGATCTATCATCCACGAACTTGACATTCTGAAGAATATTACCACTTTGACTTCAGTGTTCGAGTTCGAAATCTTTTGACTCAATGTCTATATGTAAGTAAATGAAGTCTTATTGCATATATGGAAACTAAGAACTGCCTTGCCAATTTCCTTTGAGTTACCTACTTGACATTTCAAGTGTTACATGTCTGCTACTGTTGCCCATTGACCAGATGATTCTGGTCCAGTAGGGCTTTTGTCTCACTCTATGGACAAACATCTCCTGAGAGGACTCTGTATTACCCATCCTCCATGTAAACACATTGTTTCTCAATGGTCTATACATCATTCTAAATTCAAACGGCCAGTCGAGCCCATTCATCTTCCAATGCGAAATTAATTACTCTCAGACAGCCTTCTTAGTGGCTGTCATATCTGCCATGGGAACCTGCGGCGTGGACAGATGGTATCCGATCTACCTGTTATTCATTTTTCCTGATATAGTGGCTTCCTACTTGATTGTCTCATTCCTAACCTAGTTAGTTAGTTGTCATATTTATCTATGCTTCATCTTACCATGATTCTTCAGATCACCATCATTTCCTCTAGAGCACATGCTCCACAAGATGCTCACCAGCGTTTGTTTTGGACACTACCACAGCTTCTGAACAAATGACAGGTTCTGTTATGCTTTCATGGTTCTCATTTCCAAGGTCCACCTTCGTCATACCCATCTCTAGATTGATGGTCCGGGCTGTATCGATTGCTTACAAGTTGTCAGACGGGTCACCGTCTCATCGGCTTTAGGTTCGCTCCACAGAGCGCTTTCTACCGTGACTGCCTCCTGAGTAGAATCGAGTCTCTCGAAGTCTACTGTGTAACTATATGAGCCATGCCATCCACCTTTGCGGAGCACTACCACCTAAACGTAGGAACATGCAATAACACTGGATTTGGCAGAACTGTGTGGGCATCCTTCCTACTGTGACATCCCACCAGCCAATAAGTGAAGCTTGCCAGTCACCCATATGTGTGTATTCACAGAGGCCA